CCCAATCGAGTTACATTTCCTATTTAAATAACATGGGAATTTGCAACTTTTTGTTATTAATTTTTTTTCCTCTGAAAAAAATGCCACTACGACTATTATCGATGCATATTCTGATAGGAAATTGAATGCTTTACAAAAAAGTTCTCTTATAATTTTTCAATAAAATCATTCCTTTAAGAGTTATTCGTTGTTTAAGTTGTTTTTATAGTTATTATCATAGTTTTTCAGTCTTGCTATACAGTTTGATGTGTTATAATCATTTATTTCATCTATAAATGTTCCGAAAATATTATTAAAAAAATTAATAGTTACTGTAACTTTAATAATACGATTTATTGAATACAATTTTAATAATATTGCCACTTAAGCCATTTTACAAATAATTATTTGTATTTTTTCTATCTCTATTCACGTTTATTTGTTAAGCAATTTTCAGTCGCATTATTAGAGTGCCGATCTGATCAAATTTTACAAGCCAGGTGTATTTCACCATGCACGTTGGATGTTAAAAGCGATTTATTTTCAAGTTGGATCTTGAAGCGCAACAAAATCTTTTGGATATTTGTTCATTCATGGTATTTATTTATGTGTGATTTTGGTTTGTGACACCTCTTGCAGCATCAGCTCTATATCAAGATTTAAATTATATAAAGAATGTGTATTAATACTGGACAACAAATAAGAAAATTTCTGAGGCAGTATTGCACAAATTCAAAAACCATCTGTGGTATTTAACTGATGAAAAAACTGCTTTGGTTTTTATTGATCCAAATATATCACTTCACGTAAAACGACAAATGATTAAAGCCATTAAAATGTGATGAAAATTTCGATTTTTATTCCCCCTAAACGCTATAAAGTTAATTTAGATAATGAAATTATCAATTTACACAAAAATAACTTCCCGATTTTTAAAAATTTTCAATTTTCTTAGCGGGAAGTTAAAAAAAACATTGATTTTTTTCTTAAATAAATTGATTTCTATCAATTCAAATTCGATTAAATTTTTTGTTCGATTCAACACAAATAGAAATTTCCAAGAGGTTAACTTTGAGACATGGACTACTAATAATGATAGTTTAAAAGAGTTACACATCGTTAATAATCTACAAGTTCCCATGTAGGGACTGCCAGAGTTGAATGACGGAGCCTTGCCTGGCCCTATTTTCACTTTATTTCTATAATTAGTAGAATATAGGTCTAAATAAAGAGTCAAACTATCTAAATTTGCGTTAGCAAACATCTAAATGTGATTAGAGACAGAAAAAATTCAAATATGCGGCAATATTACTAAAATTGTATTCAATACATAGTATTATTAACGTTACAGTCACTATTAATCTTTTTAATAATATTTTTGGAACTTTTATAGATGAAATAAATGATTATAACACATGAAACTTTATATCAAGTCTGAAAAACTATGATAATAACTATAATCACACCTTAAACTAAGAATAACTTTTAAAGGAATGATTTTATCGAAAAATCATAAGAGAACTTTTTTGTAAAGCATTCAATTTCCTATCAGAAAATACATCGATAATAGTCGTAATGGCATTTTTTTCAGAGAAAAAAAAATAATAACAAAAAGTTGCTGATTCCCATGTTATTTAAATGGGAAATGTAACTCGATTGGGGCAAGGTTGAATTTGGTAATTAAGAGCTTATTTGTGTAAGATATTTTTTTTTAGGTCAAGAACTAAAGGGTCCACCTTTACAAGCATGGAATGTGAGTGAATTCCATACATGTTTGTAAATTAATTGAAATTCATTAAAATTGATTACAATGAATTAAAAATGAATTAAAATTAACTAAAATTAATAATTTCGTTAAAAATAATAATATTTATTATTTAATCATTAATAAAGTTTGGATTTCCCATTGAATGGCCAAGGCTAAGGTTACCCAAATCTGGCTCGAGTCTGGGTTGCCACTCAACGGCCATGGCTAGGCTTTCCAGTCTTGGCTAGAGCTGGGTAATAATTGAGTCGGCCAAGGCTAGATTGCCCAGTCGTGGCCCAAGTCTGGGTCGCTATTGAATGGCCGTGGCTGGGGAACCCAGTTCTGGCCCAAGGCTGAGCATTTTTGGCTCTAAAAACGCGCCCATATCTCGAATAGTAATTTCACTGGAAAATTTGAGTGACAGTCAGTTAAACGGGGAAGTAATTTCACTTCATACGCGCTCCCTGGTTACAAGCCCTAGGTAGTGGAGGTATACTTCGGCTGAGTAAAAGCATTTGATTGTAGTTGAGAATACCTGATGTCGTTTAAATAGTTATTGTATCAATACTAATTGTCAGTTAACTGTCAGTAAATGGCTTAATTATTGCAAATTTGCCGCATTTTTATTGTAACATAATCGCAAGGGATATATCATTTGAAATTTCATAAAAATATATAAAATTTGATTTCAACGATTCCGTCAGATCTTGGTAATGATTTTACAAAATTTTATGTTTCTACAAAATTGTATATAAGTTCATAATATATGTAAAACTTTTATAAAATTTCGTAAAAAAATTTTTCCCGAAATTACATAATTTTTGAACTCATCAGTTTAGTAGAAATCTTGAAGAGACTTTTTTTTTTTTAAATGTTCAATTTCTTAAAAAAAAAGTTATGATATATTTTTTCGTATGACCTATGATGAGTTAGTTACTTTCAAAAATCAGAAAAATCAAAATACTTTTTTCCTTGTTATTCTTATGGAAAATCGAAAAATGCGATGCGAAGCATCTCAATATCAGAAACAAATATTTAATTTATTTTTACATTTCAATTGAAAATTGAAATTCTATTATGAAAACTTGCTTATATTATATTAGTTTGCTACCTTATTTTTAGCCTGATATGTAAAATATAATTATGTAAGATAAAGATTTTAAATGATTTATTATTCTAATTTGATTTTATATTAAATTAAATAACATTGAAGCACTATAAATAAACGTTCATAATTGTTATATGATCGCAAAACGAGTTTAATTAACGTGCAAGCATAATTTTATAGCTCACAACTCTGCAATCTTCCATGGACTATTCATAAACTTCAATTAAATAAGGATGCTAACAAAAATTAATTATATACTTAGCTCATTTCTTCTAGAGTATATGCAGAGATTTTATTGCTGACCGTTCCTCTACTTCTTAAAAAGCTGAGTATAATAACTTACACGAAGTGGTTATTGATAGAAATAAATCACTCTTCCAAATTAAAAAAAATTAGGAATACGGTTGACCCTGAAGACTATCCCTGCAACTTCCCGCCAATTCTATACCTAAACGCTTGAAATTGCACTTATGACGTTTTAGAGCTCTTCGAGCTCATAAATACAACTTGTGTATTATTTTGAGCTCTCCCGAGCTCAAAAAATAATCTTTTGTATGCTTTTGGAATAGCTACAGGAGGAAATAGCTACAGGAGGAAATAGCTACAGGAGGAAATAGCTACAGGAGGAAATAGCTACAGGAGGAAATAGCTACAGGAGGAAATAGCTACAGGAGGAAATAGCTACAGGAGGAAATAGCTACAGGAGGAAATAGCTACAGGAGGAAATAGCTACAGGAGGAAATAGCTACAGGAGGAAATAGCTACAGGAGGAAATAGCTACAGGAGGAAATAGCTACAGGAGGAAATAGCTACAGGAGGAAATAGCTACAGGAGGAAATAGCTACAGGAGGAAATAGCTACAGGAGGAAATAGCTACAGGAGGAAATAGCTACAGGAGGAAATAGCTACAGGAGGAAATAGCTACAGGAGGAAATAGCTACAGGAGGAAATAGCTACAGGAGGAAATAGCTACAGGAGGAAATAGCTACAGGAGGAAATAGCTACAGGAGGAAATAGCTACAGGAGGAAATAGCTACAGGAGGAAATAGCTACAGGAGGAAATAGCTACAGGAGGAAATAGCTACAGGAGGAAATAGCTACAGGAGGAAATAGCTACAGGAGGAAATAGCTACAGGAGGAAATAGCTACAGGAGGAAATAGCTACAGGAGTAGCTTGGAGGGGGCCTGGTACTGCGAAGTAATGCTAACGCGGTCCCGCAGTATCAGGTACAAGAGAGAGGAGGGTTTTAGTGAGTAAGAATCTCACACTACCGGCAACCAATATCTCCAACATCTAGCCGGTGTCTTATGAAGATTCCTCCTCTCGCCCAAAAAAACTAAAAAAAAAAAAAAACACACACACACACACATACATACATACATACATACATACATACATACATACATACAGACATACAGACAGCACCGCAGGGGTAGTCAGGGAAGCTTCCTATGACCTTAAAACGTCGAGATCTGATAAAAACTCGATTTTTGCAAAACGGGGTGAAAACAATAACTTCCCGAATTTTGAAAATCTGAGATTTTTAGCGGGAAGTTAAAAATTTGAAATTATCTTCTCGAACTTTTCAGAAAAATCGATTTCTTGCAAATCACATAATTCAAGAAAAATTTTAATTAATCAACAATAATTTCGGTCTTTCTGAATTTTTTTTCGAATAAAGAATACTCATAATTCATTAAGAAATGTTTGTTTTCTTTTGTATAAGTGCTTTTGAAAATAATTTATACGAAATTCATTTAATAGTATTATTCAAAATTATCAAGGGTAAGAATTTAATAAAAGTTCAAAATATCGTAAAAAATCAATTTCTATATGAATTCGTCTTAATTTATAATAGACAGCAAAAGCTCCTTCTTAAATTACATATGATCAAAATAGTTTTGTTATATTTCCTTTTTTTTTTTTTTATAAATTTATTTTTTATGTTTTTATTAAGTAAAATTAAAGTTATACATAAAGTATGAATGACTTTTAAATGAAACAATCATATTAAAACTAATGAATCACTAAGCTAGTGATTGTGATAGTGAGAGATATTAAATCATTAATTATATTTATAAAAAAAAGGTTTAACTTTTCAGCAATTATATTTTAGAAATTAATCATTGTGATATTTTCAGATTTAAGTTCTATCTAGGTAATCGTCAATGATCAGCAGCAAATTTTTTCGGTTGATTTTCTTTGGCACGTTCAAGTCGTTGTAAAAGTAGATTATAGAGCTGATCAACTTCTGCAGGTGCCGCTTGGACTATAAAAATTCTTATATCACCATGAATGTCCATAGCAGTTAATCTAAGGGATTTGGGTCCAGCACGCTCAGCAGTCATTTCTGGCCAAATTTTGGTATTAAGAATAAGTCTTTGAGTACCAGTCGCACGTCCTACAAGTCGCGATTCTTCATCTCGATCATTAAGTCTAAGAATGCCTCGTCCTCTTTCTTTCCAACCACCTGTCCCCTATAGCAGAAATATATTAATCAATAACCAAAAAAAATGTTAGGCTAACTTCAATTTCTTAATTTGAAATAAAAATATTACTTTATCGAACGTAAAAAGTTTGCAATTGATTTGAAGAATATTAACTTCTTCCTCTTCACCTGTTAATAGTATAACTTGATTGTATTTTCTCTTACTAGCTCGATTAGCTTCTTCTACTTCATGTGCAGCTTGTGATAATGTTAATCCAGATTTTGTGGTACTACCACAAACAGCAGCAGCATTGGAAAATAGTAATTCCGAAGATTTATTCGCTTTGATTGAATCTTCTTTTGTACATTTTTTACTTTCAACTTCAGAACTATCGTTATTTTTTCCTACTGTCACGCGATCTTTAATATTTTGACCAAAAACAAAACTCGTTGTTAAATTGTTTACTGTTCCTATAGTATTACAGATAGAATTGTTTTCTTTAGGATTATTAGTAGCAAGAGGCAAAAATTTGGGCGCTGCAACTTTAGCACTCTCTTTTTTATTATTTTCAGTATTACTATGTTCTATATCAACTTGTTCATCTGCACTTGTACCATTTTCATCTGTAGAATTATCTTTTTCTAATACTGCCTTTTCTGAGATTTTTGTAGGAGAACTTTGACTCTGCTGAGAATCTGAGGGCGACTTTGTTGATGGTCCAGGTGTAATAGTGATCGTACTTAATTGGGATGGTCTTAGTATTGATGGCTTTAAACCACTGAAGTTCGATAATGACTGATTGGATTCATTACATAGAGAATTACCAAATTTTGATTGTACTAAAATAGGACCTACAAAATAAAAGTAATTAATAAAAATAAATAAACAAAAAAAAATCTCTAAGTTTTTGATTTTTAGAGTAATATCTTTACGAAAGCCAATGACAGAATGACATAAGTAAATTAAAAGGCGTTTGTTTTTTCGTGTTGAATGTATTCTTGAGAGAAAAATTTTTAAAACCGTTATCATACTTATCATGCACATAAAAGTTTCTCAAATTTAGTAAACAAACTTAAAATATATTAATATTGAACAAAATTTTAATTAATACTAACAATTAAAGTCAAAACTATAAAGCATGGAATTTTTAACAAATGTTGTCCAGAACAATATTCCATTCATCGAATTGTATAAATAATAGACCGGGCCAATGTGATAACATTAAAAAGTCGACATCACTAAAAAGTGTAGTACTTTTTTTTTTTTGTGAAATATATATAAAAATCATTTTAACTGAAAAATAAATTGGATCAAATTCCTGAACTATCCATTATAATGGAAAAAAAAAGATTTTTAAATACAGAAAATTCTCTGAATAATTTATTTTTAGTAGATTTCATAAAAATCTCTATTGCAGTCGTCCTCATAGCACAACTTTGAAAAAATTCAGCTATTTTCTGACTAAGCTCGACAAACTGAGTCAGAAAATATCGTTCGTTCATAAGTTTATATATATATATATAGGGGGCGCAAAAAAAACGACTATTTTTTTTTTTGAGTCTCGAGTGAAAAAATGTTAGTTTTTGATGTTTTAAGAGCATTCACCAAAGAACAGTTCAAAAAAAAATTTTTAAGAGGTAACTCCAAATTTTTCAAAATTTCAAAAATCGTCAAAAATTGAATTTTTTTTTTTTTTAATTTTTTTCTTGTTACGGTATAATTTTATCGACTAAAAAAAAAATAAGTTTTGGAAAATTTCAGTTCAAAATTTGAATTTTGAAAGGTCGCTCATAATTTTTTTAAATTTATTAGTGCATTAGTTTAGATTTTTTCGAG